TCAAATCTAGAGATTTTTAGTCGACAGTACCAACGTGCAATGTTGATTGCCTAAGCTCGGCGGTTACGTGGGTTGTAATCATTAATGAAGACTCTATGTTTAGAAATGACATTTCTTAAGAGTAGGTAATAAAAAACAATGTACTATTCAAAAATCATTGCCGAAGTTAATACAGATATTGTTTTACTAAATATGAAACATTCATAAATGTTTACAAGTCACGTGGCCGCCGAGTTTAGGAAACCCAACAATGCACGATTGGTAGTGGCAACAAAAATTTCAAAACTATATAATTTATCTTTGGTAATATATTATTCGTATTAGTTGTCATTTAGCTACTAATTTATTTTTTTAACAACTTAATAGATTTTAAGGCACTACTTTTGATCAAATTGCATTTATTTGTTAGCAACTGATATTAGCTAAGCTAACAGGTATTTGTTCCAGTACCAAATAATTTGTAACCTGAGGGGTTATTTCTTTATTTATTTACCTCCCGTTATGACCAGTATCAATAACGATATCAACTTGCAAAAGAGCTTACCATTAACTTCCCGAAAGGGAGTTTATAATTATCATCTTCACTTTAATTAATACGTGGGAACTTAGAAATGTTGTACGTTTAGAGAATGAATTTCAGACACTTACCGTTCCAGGTGTTGATTGTACAAGGTGTTCCACTCTCACTCGACGGACACTTAATTTTTATAACATTGCGTCGAAATCTACTTAATGTCATTAAAGGAACTATTTATTTATATTTTAATAAAAAGTATATCCAGACCGTTTCCCATAACAATCAAATGACTATAAGTCGTTGTTTTGAAAGACTTTCCTGATTTCTAATTAGAACTAATGTATTAGTTTCTTCTGTTATACTTAGTTTGACAATGATATGAGATGGAAATACGTAATGCAAAAGTCAAGAAATATTTGACTGCAATTTGTGAAGCCGGTATATTTCTTCACGTTCTTAATTCTGAAACCGTTTATAGAAATTTTGGATTGAACTATGCGCCAAAAATTCAGAGCTACAATAAAAATTTGGAAGAATACAGTAAGTGTGGTTAAAAGAATTATCTTAATCTATAGTTTTACAGTGTAATATAAAATTGAAAATTTTCTATTTTTTGTGAGTTCAATATATAGGGTGGCCGCAAATTTCACTGACAACGTTTGACTGTATATTCACGACGATAAATAAATACGATCTACCAAAAAAAAGTTAAATAAAAACTTTTTGGTTTACAGGTCTTCAAAGTTGTCAAAAATTAAACTAATTTAATTAATAACTTCATAACCCTTTTACAGATCGCGTTAAAATTTGGCACATTTATTTGGACTATTATTATGGTGTATTATTTCTTAAAGCTTTAGTCAAATCGATATACCTACTAGGTGATAGTTTTCTCCGGTTACCTCTCTCTTTTAGCGGTCAAAACTATTACAGTGGTCGTATTTTTTTAAAACGCGCAGCAACATTGAAAAGGTCGTTTTATTTAAAAAAAATTGTCTTGAGAAAATCGCCTACAGAAATCCATTCTAGAGAAAAATGGTATTATTTTTAGGTCTGTATGTTTCGGTTTGTGTAGCAGTGTCACGGATTTAAAACTTTTGAGTTCAGTAGGCAATGAAAACAAGATGTTGATTGCTGTGTATATCAGGTAATGTCATTACGGTCGTGTTTCTTTAGAATTCTCATCATTCCACACATGCAAATTATGAAAATTTACAACTCCGTTCCTTGTAAAACAAGATTCGTCGGTACAAAACAATTTTTGAAGCAAATTATTTATCTTCTGTGAAGCCATTCACCAACCAGCGGCAAAATTGTAAATGTGCGTTAGGACCTAAATTTTCAAGTTCTTAAGCAGGAGTTAAATGAAATGTCCGAAGAAGTTGCTTTTTAAAGTTTTTTGATCATTAGTTTTACATACATTTAGTTGTCTTGATACACTGCGGACACTTCATAATTTGCATGTGTGGAGTGACAACACTGAAAGAAATGGGCTTATTAAACTGTTTATCTAGAATAATGTGTATAGCGCATATTAAAACTTTTATAACCAATATACAACTTTTATTAAAAAAAAGCAATCATCTCCATACTC